GGTCGCACTCTTGTGCAAGCCCTTTTCCACAAGAACTCTTGTGCAAAACAGTTCTTGCACAAGAAGCCTGCAGTGTAGACGTAACCCAAGTGTTAAGTTCCTCTCCACCAGCTCCCATCTGAGCAATCAGGCTTTCAAGACAGACTGGGCAAACCCAGCAATGACCCACAGTGTGTGCCTTGCGGGGGCGGGGGGGTTCTCAGTCGCTGCTCACAGCCCCTACAAAAGGATGGAAATTGGTTCTGGCAAACGGGAAATTACCCAATGCTAAAAGCTCCGGGACTTTGCAAGGGCAGAGGGGGAGCTCTGCCGACTGCCATGGTTTGACTCACATGAGTAACGTCACATGCTCTCAGGGTGCAGGGTCGGCGCCTTTTCAGAATACAGATTCATGGGGTTTCGTGCAGCAGATCAATGCAAGGAGCCCTTTCCCATTCAAACACTATTAAACTAGTGATAGAAGTGTAGCCGTGTCAGTCCTGAGGAAGTGGGTCTGGCCCACGAAAGCTCATCACCTAATAAACCATCTTGTTAGTCTTTAAAGTGCTACATTGTCCTATTAAACTAGTTCCCCTCTCTGCATGTTCACTTCCCTCACCCTGGCTCCTGTATTGCCAAGAGGCAATGGTTCTTCCCTTAAGCACACCAATTGGGTGAAGGCTTAAAACTTTACTAAGCAAATATTAAGGTAAAGTACAATGCTTAATATTAGAATAAAGTACAATGCCTATGAAGCAAATCTTAGAATAAAATACAATACTTATTAAGCCTAAGCAAGCCTCAACAAAATGCAACGCTGTCGGGAACCACCTGAAGGAGGACAGTGGCCAGACCCCAGTGGCCGGCACGTAGCACCTCCTGTGGCTTCGGTCTATGCCGAGGTTCCAATGTTAGGAATATTCCCAGCCTTTATATACTGTTGGATCTACAGTAATCAGACCTGTTGTTTTGAGAACCTAACAAGATCGTTGTTCCATTGCATATTTTCCCAGATCCAATAATTAGCTTGTTGATACTTTGCATAGTTTCCCAAGCCACATACTTAGCATTATCAGGTGGGAAACATTCCGCATAAATAGCTTTGTGATCTTCCCAAGCACTCCTATGTTCCGTAGATTTCAATGCCCAAACCTGAAAGTTAGGGCCTCAGTACTATTGTGGACTCAATTGACTGAATTTTAGAAAGCAAAACCAACCACACTTGTAGACCATTTATAGTATGAGATAGTTGTCTGCTACTCTAGCATATTTTTTGCATCTATTCTGGTTAATTAACATCAACATTTCCAAAGTGCACAATGATTCAGGAGCTTCTGTATTTCTCTGCTTATCTTGAAACAACTCAGGTTAATTATTAAAAATCAAAGATCCACTTTAGAATATGTTGACTGAATACAGAGAACTGCATTTCTCAGAATAATTTATACAACTTTCTTCCCTTTTAGTTAGGGGCTGGAGTAAGGAAAGCAGCATGCTCAATGTAGGTTATCAAAATCTAGACTCTCTTATTTTGAATAGCATCTGACGAAGTGGGTCTTTGCCCACGAAAGCTTATGCTCCTACACTTCAGTTAGTCTATAAGGTGCCACAGGACTCCTCGTCGCTTTTGCAGATTCAGACTAACACGGCTACCCCTCTGATAAAAGAATAACAAGAAGCAAAAGGCACAAATGTCTGCCCAGAGCATCTGAGCCTGTAAGAAAATGCAGGCACAAAAGGAACAATTGTGGCACACCCCCTCATTTCTTTGACCTCACAATCGTCTTCCGCATTTCCACTACAGCTCCTTACATGCAGACTGTCCAGGCACATACGCGGGGGTGGGGGGCAGAGGGGTGTGAACAAACACACCCCCACGGCCCTTCGTGGTCCGCCATGGGGCCAATTCCAGCTGACCTAGGAAGGCAGGGGCCGCCTGCCAGCTCCAGCCTCCCTCCCCCGTGCTCTGGCCAGCTGTGGAAGGCTGGAGCTAATTTCCACCTTCCTCACCCAGGAGTGAGGACAGGGTTGGGGCTGGGCTGGGCTGGGCAGGGGGACAAGGCTGGGCTGTGAGGGGTGCTGTTACAGGCAGAGATGCTGCACAAGAGGACTGGCTGAGAGCAGAGGTTACCTCAGAGCTAAACGGCTCTGTCCAGAGGCGAAGGGCACATTGGGCATGTCCACAGTGCGACACAAACCCGAGACGCGTGTCAGCCTAGGCCAGAGAACTGGGGCTCCCTGGCGTGGTCCGAAGGCTGCAAGGAGCAGTGTGGATGTTCAGGGTTTGGATGCAGGAGGCTGAGGGCTCTGGGGTGGGGCAGGGATGAAGGGTTTGAGCTAGGAGACCCTTTCTGCTTGCAAGTCCTCAGAGTCTAGCATTGAGCTTGACCCTGCAGCCTGAGCCTCACCAGTTGTCTGGGAGTGGGGCCAGCTGGAGATGTCCCGGTGGGTGCCAGCACAGGGACAGCACTTAGCCCAGCGGCCAACCAGACAGCAGTGCAAGCAGTAAGCGGAGAACAATTGCCAATTGTTTGGTGCAAACTGTCCTGCTACCTGACAGCTGCCGACTGTTACCAGATTTGCCCATTACTCTGGTGTACGCTCATTTATTGGGGTTACTCTTATGGGGCTGGGGTTTAATAATTCTATCCATGTGTTGCTTGTGCTGAAACTGACCAGCAGCGGCTGAATCAGGACGCCTGGGGCAGAGCAGCTGGGGTGCTTCCAGGTTGGTACAGTAGCGCCGAGGAGCGGTGCTGCGGGACCAACCAGGCAGCGCCCCAGCTGCTCTACCCCAGGTGTAGGCAAGAAAAGCCTGGCCTGCTGGGGGAGGGGCACTAGCTGCACCCCCCCAGCAGACCAGGGAGACGGAGGTGGCGGGACCGCCCAAGTCCTCCATGGCTTTGCTCCGTCTCCCTGGTCTGCTGACCTGGGAGACACGGAGCAAAGCCGCAGAGCACCAAACAAACTATTTTACAGGAAAAGAGGCCGGTAGGCAGAACGTCCCTAGCAATGCCAGCACAAGGCAGCAGAGAGTTCCGGTATCGTCACTGGAGGCAGACCAGGGGGACAGGAGCAAAGCCGCCCAGGCGGCGGGAGTCCCGCTGCCTGGGTGGCTTTGCTCAGGTGTCCCTGGTCTGCTGGGGGGGTCCAGCAGCTTTGCTGGACCCCCCCAGCAGACCAGGGGGACAGGAGCAAAGCTGCCCAGGTGGCGGGGGTCCCGCCGCCTGGGCGGCTTTGCTCCCGGGCAAACAAGCAAAGCTGCCCAGGCGGCAGCTTTGCTCGGGTGTCCCTGGTCTGCTGGGGGGGTCCAGCGGCTTTGCTGGACCCCCCCAGCAGACCAGGGAGACCGGGAGAAGCCCCCAACATGATCAAGCAGGAGACGATGAAGTTTCCATGGAACTGATACAGGGTTTACATCCAGGCATCAGAACAGTTTTTCTTGAGCAAGGGTAGTTGTCTTGGTAGGGACAGGACAATAGTTCAAGGGGAACACTGGATTGTTTATGGGTAAACAGAGGCCAGACAATAGAGACTGACTATGGAGGATGTTCCTCGACAGAGCTCAAAATGCAAGGAGGAAGTTTCAGAACTGTGCATAGCAATAGGATCCATTCCAAGAACTGCTCTGAGAATGACTCATTTGGGGGTGAGCAGCCTGGGTTCATTAGCATCAGGAGCAGAGATTTCCCATCAGGCCGTGCTTCTCTGCTCTCGGTGTCCCATAGCTCGGTGCGGTTCCTGCTTGGGAAGAGCTGGCTCCATTCTGGATGCTAATGGAGATGTCTCCCTGGTCCATCTTCCATGCAGATGAGCCCGGGGCGTTTCCTGAGTCCCATCACCCTTGTCTAGAGGGGTTCGGGGTGTCTTCCCCGACCTCTGCCTTGCTTTGCCTTTGATTCCTGCAGAGGCCTGGGGGAGGGGACGGTTCTCCATGAGTATCACTCCCCGAGAGCCCAGGGCCGCCAGGCGGCCACGCTCCGGTCCCCCGAGAGCCCAGGGCCACGCTCCGGTCCCCCGAGAGCCCAGGGCCGCCAGGCGGCCACGCTCCGGTCCCCCGAGAGCCCAGGGCCACGCTCCGGTCCCCCGAGAGCCCAGGGCCGCC